CAGACTCCGGATGACCTAAGACAGGCATGATCCCGACAGCCCTTTGGTTATAAAACAATAAAGGGGGAGATGTGGGGGCCCGGCCTACGGCCGAGGCTGAGCCCCACTCTAGCTGGACAACGCCCTAAAGATGGCGCCTGCTTCCTGCTCACCACCCTTTCCCCTCTTCCCTGTTGGGGATTGGCCCAGCAGACTTCCGTACCCGTGCACAGCTCGTGCTGCCCGCTTAGAGTGGCGCGTGACACCTATCCGCTTAAAGGTCACGCATGATACTGTCCCGGATTGGTTGGGTGACTGAATATAAGGGAGCCCGCCGGGAGGGAAAGAAGAGCTGCCCGACAACTGCTGTAACCACCGTGAGAGATTAGACAATAAAGCCTAGAGAAGAATCAAGACCTTGGGCGTGTTGCTTCGGTCCTTGAAGGGTCGCGACAAGCGAGACCCAGGAGGCTCTCAGGATCTGGGCACTAGCCTGGGGTGAGGGGCTTCCCAGGCCGCAAGGAGCCCCTGCTCTCGGCTCCTGCTCCCTGGTTTCGGCACCATATGAAAGAAGAGAGGGGATGTGAACTCAACAGTCCAGGCAGGTTTACCGCTGAGCCTGAGAGGGACCCCTCTGACCTGGACAGCAGAACAAAGGAAAGAGAGTCTCTAACAGGTCAAGAGGCTCTTTATGGCCAGGGCTTTGGGGAGCTCTTTGAGGGGAGAGGTCAGCGGGAGGTGGGCTTGTGGCTTGCTGACGTGTCCTCTGGAGGATGCCTGTAGCCTAGAGAAGATGACACCCGCGTCTCTCTGAGACGGTGGGTGGGTTTATTCGAAAGGCAGTACTCAGGTCAGGATTCTATCAAGGTATACGTGTCATCCTGAACTAAGAAGTGGGCAGAGGCCTGAGACTTCAAAGGAAAAGGGAAGTAATTCACCAGAATATGAAAGAATAAATGTTTGATAAGCAAAATACTCGATGGGCCACACAGAAACAATGGGGCACAGAGAGGAATTTTAACAGACTTAGCCACATCCCCCACTGCCTACCACACCTAGTTGACATCATAATATAGCTATCTATGGTGACAGCTCTTCTCGTGGAGTGGTTCCTCTAGCTAAATTCGTTTTATGCAGTTGCTGGGTGGGAGGTCAAAGTTTCTTTCTGAGTCTTTTGGGCCTTGATGGTTTTCAGGTCAAAATAACCTGCATGTCACAATGGCACATCTCGGGGCAGCCTGCCCCTGGTCTCTACACTTCCTATGAATTTTTGGGTCCTTCTGCTCAGGACTCAACAGATTCTGCCTGTGGATACTGACCCCAGAAGCAGTCCCCTGCACAGGATTTGGGTGGAAGAAAGTGGAAGTGTGATAGGATGTCATCCTTGATCAGATGGCATGATTTGTGCTGAGGCAGTTATGAGTGACTCATTTTTGGAGCAGATGCTGCATCTTAACTGTATGTTTAAGTCTGTGACTTTGAACCTGTTTTTAGGGAAAGCTTCACGTGAAGCCAGGGAAGCTCAGGAAACCAAACTAGGACTAATGACAGCTGCAGCTACCATTTAGTGAGCACCTAGCATATCTCAGGCACTTTGCGTGCATTACCTCATTTAATTCCCACAACACTCCTATGAGCAGGTGCCATTATCATCCCTACTTGACCTATGAGAAAACTGAGCCCAAAGAGGTCAAATAATTTATCTAAGTTCACAGTGACTGAACCTGGATTTAAACTTGCGGTCAGTTCTGTCCCTATTCGGAGAGGCTGATATGTATGAAATGACCCCACACAAACCCCTGATAACAGTTTCTTTCCATTGTTACATTAATCCCTGATGAGAAATCTGACTGAATTATACGAAGTTAATTCGATGTTTCTAGTAGGAACACTTGCAATTTTTCAGTCACAGAGTAGGGAGTAGAGGAAAGAGATGCTAATTTATTGAGCATCAAACAGCACGGTAGCATTGGGGAGGAAGAACTTCCTCTACGCCTAGAGGTTCTTCCAGCTGGTCTAAGAATCAAATTGACATGAGATGAACAGGAGAAAAAACTCCAAAGTTTAATTATGTACATATGGGGAATCCGTAGGCATGAGATTCCAAAGACAGGGATAATGAGGTATATATGTCATCCCAAACCAAGGAGAAGTGGGGAGCGGTCTGGGATATCAAACGAAAAGGAAAGCAATTTACAGGAACATAAAAGAGTAAATGTTTGGTAAACAAATGTTTGTTAGGCCCACAGAAACAATGGGACATGAGGAGGCATTTTAACAGACTTAACCACATTCCTCCCCGCCTACTACACCTAGTTCAAATTATAATGAAGTTAACTATGGTAGCAGCTCTCTTCTGAAGCAGTTCCTCCATCTGAATTCTTATTATGGGCCTGATTGCTTTCAGCTCTAATAGAATCTGCATGCCACAAGGACACATCTTGGGGCAGCCTGCCCTTCCTTGGTCCCTACACTAGATATTTTCTGTACATTGTTTTAATTCATACCTAAAGCAAGCCTGTGAGTTCCAGGGTGTTACCTGCTTGTACAGCTGAGAGCTTTAAGCCCTTGCTGAGATCACACAGCTATCAAGTTCAAAGAGCTGAATTTGAACTCACGGCCACTGGCTCCAAGCCCCCTCCTTTCCACCACACCGTGCTGTCTCTCCTTAGTGTCTCATCAACAAACAGCAGTCCCTCAAGGTCTTTATTTGCCAAAGTTAGAAATCCCCAGGCAGTTCTGGGAGAGATGGAGACAGAGTTAAGGTAAGCTGTCCATCTAGGTGGACAATTACTAGTGATGCAAGCACATTCCTGCTGTGCTCCTCACCACCTGTACCCATCCTGTCACACAGCTATCCATGTGCACAGGTTCTTGCTGGGGACTGGGGCAGCTATGCCAGGTGCCGGGGGCTGCTGAGAGCATCACGCAATACCGGAGAATCCACAGGGTCAGTCCGAGCTCTAATTACACCAGGAAGGTGAAGAGCATGGGTGCTGCAGCCAGACTGCCTGGATTTCAATCTCAGATCTACTAGTTACTAGTTAACCTTGGTCCAGTTTCTTAAACGCTATCTGCCTCAGTTTCCTCCTCTGTAAAACTAGGGTAATAATAACTCATAGACTATGGTAATGCTAGGGGGGCATTGTATATTTCCCTCGGTTCTTGTCCCCACTGCAACAAAGATGTGAAGGACAAAGATACAGTAGTGAAGCAGAGTAAAACTTTTATTTAAAGAGAGAGAAAGTGCAGGTGTCCTCAGAGGGGAGGCACCTTGAAAGATTGGGGGTTCCCCCTCTTGAGGATTTTCAGGAATGTGACAAAGCACTGGGGTGTGGACTTGTCAGGTGGTCTCAATAAGTTTATCTTTGATGAGAGACATTAGGTCTCTTCTCTTCTATTATCAGGCCTCCAGGTAATTCGGCAGAACTAACAACGCAAGAAATTTGCCAATCAGCTTCCTCTCAGGAGAGCAGCTTCCCTCTGGGAACACATCCATCAAGACCACCTGCCCTGCCTGCAAGGTGGGCTGAGTTATTGTCTGTTTGCTAAAGAATATGTTAAGAGTCTTAATTCATAACTTTCTGGGTTTTAAAGTGCAGTCTTAGCCTTAAGATGGAATCTTTCTGTTTTTACCATGCTGTTTATATTTGGGCTTGTTTGGAAAATTACTCATGATGTTTGTATCCTGTCCAGGTTGCAGGTTACTTGATTAGGGGCTGGAGGAGGAGAAAACAGCATAAAGGTTAAGTTGAAGAATAAGCTGGGCCTTTTAGCAGGCTAAAGTAAATCTTACAATGGCATCATCTAATTGACACAATGAGGACATGGGCTGCCCTCATACTTTTCTTTACCTGGAGAATATTTGGACATTCCAAGTTACTTCTGACCTTTGGAGCTTCAATTGATTAACTCATTAACTCTGTGAGTCTTTTTGACTCTCTAGTTTTAATTGGTTAACTCTTTTTGAGTCCCTTTTAGTGGGCTTTACTGGCCTGATTCTCTCTCTACCCTACTCATATCTATTTGTCTGCCTAACAGTATGATTCCTAAGTACCCAAAAAGCTTTTAGAATAGTTAATACCTGAAATGAAAATGTCTCTACCTGAATTGGATTAAGAAAAATAAATACCCATATTACTGGAGACGGGTTCCTGGTCTCATTGTGAGAAAGAATTCAAGAACAGATGCGAAAAAGTGGTTGAGCATTAAGAGTTTATTTGGAAAATAAAGTTCAGAGAAAAACAAGAGTACATGCTGAAGAACTGGCATGTGGGCAGACCCGGAGAGGGTTGCACCAAAAGAACAATAGGGAACCTTTTTTTATATTAAGTATTCATTAAGCGGGGTTAGGTGTCAAGGGGACTAGGTAGAGTCTTCCGGAGTTTGGGCTTCCACCCTCCCCACTGGCAGGGTGGCTTTTTGGCTGTACTTGGTTCTCGGAACTATCATGGTGGGGAGGCATGAATTTTACTGTGTTAATGAGCATATAATGCATTTGGAGGTGAAGTAAGGGTCAACTTCTCCTCTATGTTGGAACCAGCCAGTTTCTGCAGGTCTGTTGTCTATAACTCCCACCGCTGGCCCCCCATCCCAAGCTAATGTACAAAATGTCTGCAAGCAGCTGATCCAAGTCTCCCTCCCACTTCCTGCTTCTGTCTAGCTATCAACCTACTTGAGCATTTGAAAAGCTTTTAGGACGGTGCCTGGAATGTGCAGTGTCAAGCATTTAATCAATGGTGTTGTTATTATTGTTACTCAGACAGTCAGACCAGCCCAGCAAAACAGAGTAACTCTCCAATGAGACACGCCTGTAGCAAAGCCAGCACCAGAACCACTTCTGCCTCTTTAATCCAGTGCACTGTGTATACTTGGTTATGTGTTTCAACAATGAGAAAAAAGATAATTGATCTAAGATCCACCAATACTTTGAAAGTAGTGTGAGTTGTTCCCCAATTTCAGCTGAAAATAGTCACTTTATTAATCCACCTTTTAAAAAGAAAGTCTCTTTTATAACAAGTAAGCTGTCAACAGCAAGACTAGAATTGACAGGAACCAGCTCTGTGCTACCATTGGGCTCCCAGAGAGATTATCTGGCTCTGTAAGTGATAATTGCTGGTTATCAAGACTAGTTCAGTTGCCATTAATTGCGTAATTGTCCCAGGTATCTCACAAAAGGGTTTGATTTCTGCAGTCATCTTAAAACAAAGAGATAAAGAAAACAATAATAAATACCTGCATAGCTTTAGCATAATTACACATACCTGAAGTATAAAACCCCCGTTCTTTGTAACTGGGATATGGGCAATCTGGAACATCTGTACAGAAGAGCAGTTTTCTGATATGGTTTCAGTTACATTACAAGAAAAAAGTTAGAACATCGGCAGTGGAGAGTCTTAGGGTTCCTTAAAACATTTCTGTGTCTAGATATTTAGTGAATGTATAATTTCCAACTGTGGGAACAGTTATGCAGCCTGCCCTGTGACTCTGACACTGGAGGCTCAAAGAAGACCCCAGCTCCTGCCCCCAAGGGGCTTGTGGGTAATCAGACAGGGGTGGCTCCACACAGTGACCCAATTAGGGAGGCGCGAATCAGCCGGGACTCCTAATTCATATGGGGTGGGCAAGGGAGACTTTGTGGAGGAGAGGATGCCTGAGGAGTCTTTAAGGATGAGTTGGTTTTTGTGAGGTGAAGAAGTTGGGGAAATGATCTTCCAGATAAAGAAGGGGGAAAGGAGCAGAGGATAAGAAAGTTTGCCTTGTTCTGGGAGCTGTAAGACTGGCAATGCTTAGCCAAGTAAAAAAATAATAGAGTGCATTTGTGAAGAAGATTAACTTGTAGTAATAATGACAGCACATATGTAAGTTTGTGTGTTCTCAGCCCTTTCATTGTGTAGCTCATTTAATCCTCACGAAAGTCACGTAAGGTAGGGAAAATTACTATACCTGTTTTGCAGGTGGAGAAACTGAGGCACAAGAAGTTCAGTAACTTTCTAAAAATCTTACTATTAGTGAGGAAAGCCAGGATGAAGACCTAGGCAGCCTGCTCTGGGTGCATGCCTATGTGTGAGCTCACGAGGAAAGCATCTGGTTTGGAGTTACCTGGAACTAACCCAGATATCAGCTTGATCTTTCCCACTCCTAACTGAGATGAGATCAGCTTTAAGCCATATCCCATGGCTTGTGGGAAGCCCAATGCTTTCCTGGAAATTCCTATATATTACCAGAGGCTTGTGCTTTTGTTTTGTTTCCCATGGGTTCACATTCTCTGTGTAGCATTTCTGAACTGTTCTTTGTCTCCATCCTGTCTTCGTGATGGTCCAATAGTGGGTACAACCCCTCTCCTTGATATAGTCTCTCATCTCTCCCCCAAACAATGCATGTATTCACTTAAGACTTGCAGGACTCCTGTAACCAGTGGGTCCCATGTTATGTTGACTGTAAAATGGAGTGGCCCCTCCCTGTCACATATAAGACCAGGTGTGGACAGGAAAGTGCACTGTCCTGGGACAGTGACTGGCTACTCTGAAGGCCGAGAAGAGCCCAACCCCTGTGGCCTGGATCCCAACTTTTTCTAGTCTTGGCTGTGAAGGCTGAGGAATGAAGATGGCTAGTGAATGGGACATGATTTAGTACCATTGTGGTACCTCAAAAAACAAGAACTAGGTTTAGAAAGAGAGTAAATAGTTGGTTACTTTTTGGCTAAGCATGCATGTACATTACATAAAGTTGAGTGCTCTTTAACTATACTTCCATTTCTTTTATACATCTATTACTAAAACTTGGTTGTGATTTTTACATTGGATTCTTTTTGTACTGCATGTTTACTAGTTACAACTATTTAAGAGTTGTCTGTGAGCTTCTCTTCCTGTGTCACATCTCTACCTCTATGATTTGGGGCAAGTCACCTGACTTCTCCTAGTCTTGGTTCATCATTTGTGAAATGAAGATCATAATGTTTTTCAAAGTGCCATCATGAGGATTAAACAATACATGGAAAGTGCACTGCACAGTATCTGAAATGCAGTAAGGGCTCAATAAATGTTAGCAATTATTATTTCTTCCTTTAACCAAAAGTTGACAGTAGTTTGATATGGCTGATACATGGAAGAAGAATAATGGTGGTGGAGAGGATGGACCTGCAGCTGGAGAAGTAAGCAGTCATCCGATCAGAAGGATTTTGTGTGTCATTACCAAGAGAATGAACTTTACCCCTACAGGCCACAGTTTCTTGAGCCATCCCTAAGGGGACTGTGATTTTCTATCTGCAGGGGTGAGAGTACAGCCCAAGATGCTCTCCAAACACATAATATTGTGTCATTTCCTGTTTAATTAAAAAGATACAAAGGAATTTTGTGTTCTATTCCATAACATGGTTAGTGGGAGGGAGGTAGCTTCCAAAGGTCAATTCTTGGTTGAATTATTATAAAAAGGATTGTAACTGGAAGTAGTCTCAATCTACTTTAGGGAAAAACTTTCAACCAATCGAACCAACTTTTTGAGATGTCTCAATTTCAGTATCATGATATCTTAAAGATAAGAATGCTTCTAAAACCAAATATATATCAAATAGCCAGGACATTAAACATTCTATAATACTTTGTCTTAAGTGTTTAAAAAATATCATGCACTCTGAAAGATATTCTTAAACAAAAAAGCAAAATAAGGATAGAATAAGCTTGTGTTCTGATAATCCTGAAACTTCAATTAAGTTGTAAAGTGATTAAGAGCCTGTTGGAACTAGGGTTTGCCCTATAGCTTTAATAGGTTAATTAATGGAAGTACAGAAAACTCTTATCTTCACCCCACTTCTTCATGCCCTGTGGCCAAATAGTCACCAAAATTCCTTTTCAAAGGCAAATATTTCTGTAACCATTTACATTGTTAGCAGGTTTCCTCTGGAAAGGTGATAGAGGAGGATGGGTCAGATCTTCAATCCTGGGAAAGTCAAGGGAACAGAGGTGGTCTGTCTTGCTCCAGGGCTGGCCTTGAGTTCATAATGTCTCTAAAAACTTCCTATTAAAAAAAATCCTTTTCTTTAAACCAAGAACTAGCTCAACATATTTTGGAGAAAAACCAACCCACATACGTTTTTTTTAATAGCATCTGCATTTTACTGAAGTAAACCAGTGTTAAAAAAAAAAAATCCCAAATCCCACAAACCAATGTGCAGAAACAGGCAAGTAAAATAGATAATAAGAATTTGGTAAACCAGAACAAGTTTTTGAGAAGTCCAGACAGGAGACACAGAAGCTATTCGGTAACTTACAAAGGATCGTGTCTTCATGTTTATTGGGTCATACCCATGAGCTTTACAGTTTATATTCTGTAAAAGTCATGATAGCCTTAAGCCAAATGCTGCTTGAAAGTAATGAGATCTTTGGTCATATTTCATGGAGGCTGGATTTTTAGGCCTCCTAATCTTAAACACATGATTCACATAGATATGATATTTAGTCATAAGGCTTCCTACTTCCTATTTATGCTTAGTTTACTTCATAGCTTATAGCAATTATAATAGATCACAGTTGGAATTGAATTATGACCAAAAGTATTATTCTACCAATTTATTAAATAAAGCTGAAAGTTAAGCATAAATAAGAGTTTGTAAGGCTATTACCCCAAATTAGAATTTATTTTAGCATCTGACAGACCAAAAAAATTGAGACTTCAAAATAGAAATATAGCTATGTAATCAAAATAACATGTATCGTCTCAGTATTTACAAGTAACTGATCTAACTATATTGCTATTTTCAAAAATAGTTGGGTCTTTTCCTATGTAACTGAAAAACTTTTAAGAACATATTTTAAAAGCCTGATAATTTTCATCTTATTAATAGCAGATAAAATGTTATTTTTCACTTGTGATCTCCCAACTGGCACAAATTCCATAAGGTATTCAACATACATACTTTTATTTCCTTTATTTTTGTTATAATTTAAATTCAAAAATCAAGTTGTCAACAAATTTCCCTGTAAAACAGGAAATTTAGTCGGGAAGATGTTTATTGCAAAAAAGAAAAAACGAGGCTGTTGGCAAACTGGGAAGGCATAGCCTTCAGCTATGAAGCAAAAGCCACACCAAGGAAACAAGGAAAGGGGATGCTTTTTGTAGTAAAACTTGCCACCCAAGTCCCCACTCAGGTCCGTTTAGGCAGCTGGGGGATGCAAACTTGCTTGGTTCTGACTGGTCGGTGCAAGTCGCGGCTGACAGGCTAACTTCCTAGCTGTGGCGTGGTTTTGCAGCGGTAGTGGGAACACAGCAGGAACTGAGTCTGCTTCTGAGCCAACTTCAGTTTGCGGTTTTCCAAGGACCCAGAGTGTGTGTGCAGTCTCCTGTCAATAGCTGTCCGACTCCATTCTGCTTGGGCCTCAGTGAGCCTGATGGAACCCATCCTGTTTCCTGGCAAAGCTGGTTTGGAGGGCAGAGGGCTGAACTCACTTGGTTTTGTCTGATTTTCACAAAGTGAATAAGCTTTTATGTTTAAAAATATTCTTAAATGATCCTGTTGTTCCTGGTAGAGAACTGCTTTGCTAGCGAACATTAGATCATATGATCCATAGATAGTACTTGAAATCTTGCTACTCTTTTCTGCCCCAAACTCCAAGGATGATAAAGAAAAGCAGGTAAGGGGAGGGAAAGAGCCTTTGGTGACTCAGGTAGCCCTCAGATTGACCAGTCACGGAACTTCCAAGCAGGCTCTGAAAGAACTTGCTGTTACAGACTTAAAATGATACAACAGTGCACACCAGGGGCCTGCAAACTTCTCCCACAAAGGGACAGACAGTAAATATTTTTTATTTTTGCAGCTAGTTAACTCTGCCACTGCGGCATTAAACTAGCCATAGACAATACATGATTGAATGTGTGGCTGTGTTTGAGCAACACTTCATTTACAGACACTGAAATTTAAAATTCACATCATGAAATATTATTCTTATTTTTTAAAACCATTTGAAAATGTAAAAGCCATTCTCAGCTCTTTGGGCCCTACCGAACAGGCAGCAGGCCAGATTTAGCCTGTGAGGTCTGTACTATTGGAGGGTCACAGGTTGTTACTCTCAGACTTAACAATGGTCCTCCCAATCAATTATTTTCTTGGGCTTCTTTCATTTCTTTTTGCCATTGTTTCTGGGGTTGCAGAGACATTAAAAGTAACTGATATAAAAAGATAAAGGTTTTTTAAATACCTCTTTTTACTCTATCTGGAGATTTTTTTCAGGCTTATTTCTTAGACATCAAAGAGGGCATTACAACCTGAGATTATAACACTAGATACATTATAATCTATTTTCCAATGCTTTTCTTTTTAAGATTATGTTTTAAGGTATACTATTAAACAATTTTTGAAAACCCACAAGTTTAATTCAATGTACCTTTTCATTTTTTAATAAACCACATGGCAAAACAATACTTTATTTAATAAATGTATAGGAAATTACAATTTGAAAATAGCAAATACAGTACATGTACGTATACTATTCTTTGATCTTATATGACATGGACAAACCCCAGCTTCAAAGATCTTCCTAAAATCAATCATATGCAAAATACCTGGTTTCTGAAAGGACATATGGAAAGGTATATACAGTTTCTTAAATTGTGATATGGCTTACTTAGTAACACATATTTAGAGAAGCATAAGCTTTACAAATATACAGTATCTTCCAGGTACAAACCTGACACACTGGCACATTTCAATTTTGTGTTGCAGTTATTTCAGAATATACCTAATTGCAAAACTTAAATTGACACTGTCATAGATTTAACTGGGGAAGTCTCCATAAGGTTTTTCTAATCTTACCAAAAATCAGAAAATACTGGTCCTCACGAAAGATTGGAAGAATGAGTTAAACCCTTTGTAAGTGAGCATTCAATGACAGGCTGGCCTGAATGCAAACACAAAATTCAATACTGAGGAACTCTCACAATGGCTTTTTTTCTCTCTAATTTGCCTGCTCTGACCAACATCACAAAATACCCTGACTGGCAATCTATAAAACAAATCTGAAGCCCTGTCTGGCAGGATTCATATGACAGATCTGTAAGTGGGGTCTGCCAATGGTATTTGGTTAGAGAGATACTAAGTTTAATCAATTTTGGAGATCAGACTTGCCTCCCCTCAACATAGCATATATTGAGGTGTTACTATGCATTTGTGACTAATACCCAACTGGCTTATGAGCTAAGCTTGATTCAAAGACAAACTGAACCAAATGAACTGATCTTAAATCTAGGAACACATTCTCTAACTTTAATTTTCTCTATATAAGGTACAGTCAACAGCAAAACTGCCTAAAACCTTATTCTAAAGGGGCTTAAATCTGTAAGAGCATCTCATTTGTTACAGTGAACCAATTAATATAAATGCATAAAAAGATAATCTTAATTAATTGTGCTTGTTTCAGAAGTGAATGATGATCTCTTCCCAAGTAGTGAGAGTGGTTGTTTGGGAAACACAACCCAGTCTTATTAGTGATAATCTTCACTTAGGGTTCACTTGTGGTCCATTTCTATCACATTTACTCTATCAAGTTCAGGGGGGAGAGAAATCTGAATCAGATGTTAAAAAAAAAAAAGGTTCTTCCCCACCTAGAGACACATTTATAAGTGGTGCTTTGTCTCTGAAAGTTGGTGTTTCCTCATTATCAAATGTAAGGGAAGCTCATGTGTCTGATCTTGCCTGTGACTATTCTGGGAAAATTCTATTAAAGATAAACATAGTCAGTGTGGACCCCTGGATTCAAGAGACAGAACCAGAACACTGAGATTCCTAAGAGTAGGAAACTCAGCTTCAGAAAATGGAAATAAAGCACCCAAAGTTGAAAAGAAAACAGTAAAATAAATCCATTGAATTGGCAAACAATACAGATGGGAGCTACAAGTTGTGAAAATCTGGGCCCAACAATACACAAGGCATAGCTAATGGAAAATGTATGAAGGAATTCCAGTCGCTTCTGGTTCTGCATTTCAAAGCCCTCTGAAATATGCCTTATTCAACTACATTCACCACATTATATTTCTAAGGCAGCATGGTCATTAATAAAACAATAGGCCTTTTCCTAAAGTAAATCAAAACACTGCATCTGGCCAGAGTTCTGAACACACAGGTTTATGTACAAAAATAACTCTGATTATTTGCAAATGTTAATTAAAATACATCACACTGAAGAACTGCCCAGTTTTTATGTTATGATCTGTTGTCCCAGTGCAAAATTTAGAACGCTAGGTGTTTATGCAAATAGCCACCATTCTTCATGGGACAATGGGGAGCTCGCTGAGAGCTGGCTGACTGTGCCTTTTGGTTGCAGCTCAGCAGGTGAAGGACAGACCCAATGCTGTGTCAGAAGCTATGCAGTCCCGGATCCTATCTGCTAAGTTCACATACTTCTCTGTGGGTTTAAGTTACAAAAAGTTGCAACTAGCTTTCAATTCTCCATCTCACAGAATCAGTAAAGTACCAGTACAAAATCTGTAGTCCTTGCCTCAAAAAAACAAAACACAGGAAACTTCATATGTACCTCACTTTCAGCAGAACACGATCATTAAGATTAACAAAAGTTTTCAGTGTTTCTGCATTTTACAAAAGCATCCTTTTCAGTCCTCAAGTGGATTTTAGACTCTTATCAAATAACCTTTCAAGGAACACGTTGATACAAAAAAATCAGACATACTTATTTAAGAAAAAGGAAAATTTGCAAGAAACAAGCTCGGTAGATATGGGAAATAATGACAAATATGGGAAAGTCCATTAGCATATAATGCACATTCTTTTCCTTTCTCTTGCTAGGTATCCAAAGTCCATAAATGTCCAGCTGTCCACTGAAATGCTTCTCATTTATCCTTACTTGCCTTCTATATCTAAGAATATTTTGATTTAAACAGTATATATACTCAAAAATTTGAAAAATTCAAATCATTATTTTAAATGGATTTACAATAAGAATCCCATAAATTTTCAATTCAATCAAACAAACCTGGGTTTTGTAAGGTACCATTAACTCTCATGAACCCTTTTATTGGATACCATCAACTCTTAACAATCTTTTAGGTAAGTCCAGGTTTTATTTTAGGTTTACTTGAAAGAAAGATGAAATGTTTTTCCTTCATTTTTTGGATATCATTCATTTTTATTATAAGTCATCTGCATGCCTATCTGGGATTTCAATTCACAACTTGTCTGGTACATTGTTACTCTACTCTGATTCTCTGAGGAGCCCAAGAAACATATTCACTCTTGGTTAAGAAATTGTCCGTGTTGAAAATGGATTTCTAATATGTATAAAAATCTCAAAACCAACAGTTGCAAAATGAAATTAATATTCATAGGTGCCTCTTTAATACAACTGTTACCACTTAGACTGCATTTGGTTTGAAATGTTTTTGCTTAGTCTTCCTACACAGATTTAATGTCTATCCCTATTCCTGTGCTTGACAACATACACACACACGGTCAAAAACCCTTGAAATTTTTGTTTTATCTGAGTAATATCTTCCCCCATCTCTCTGGGCATTTCTGCTATGGTATTATTGGAAAAGCTCAAAATTTTATCTTAGGGCTTTTGGAATCCACAGAGAATCCCTAACCCATATCATCAAACAGAAATACTCTCTGGAAGAATGTGGTTAATCTACATGTGGAAATTGAGTATTACAAACTGACTTTGCTCTCCAGAGTTTTATCCTGAAAGGGCATTTTGGAGGAGGGAAGCAAGTAGCATGCAAACTTTCTGTACAAGATGTAAGGTAGTTCTTAAAAGGACAGAGTATCATTATTTACATTTTGCTGTCTCTTGCTGTTCTTAAGAGAATTCCATGAACAATATAAGTGATTCCAAGAAGACTTATATCAAAACTATACCCCATCCTTGCTCTTATTTTGTTTTAAATTATCAATATAACTTGAATTTAAGATTATTTTCCATTCAGAATAATATTGAAAATAGTTCCTAAATAATTTAATGACAGTGGTCTCAACATGTAAAGATTTGGTGTTGATAAGATTATAAGTAACCAAAAACATGAACTTTGAGATTCAAAACCCTGTAACATCTGGAAAAAGTTGCTTATAAGGTATAACTATAACAATAACTTGAAGACTTATTTGTGAAATAAAAGATTTCTGAAACACTTAGGAATACATGCTCATTCCACTCTCTGGATAATTACTAGTACTTTCTGAAATCTGTTAAGAAATATTTTCTGTAAAAAGAGAGAGAGCTGGGTGTCAAATTCCAGAAGCTGGGTGTCAAGATTACATAATTTAAAAATTCAGTTTTTCGGCACTGGCTTGATATAAAATGGTCTTTAAAAAGGATTTTTAAATGCAAATACTGAATTCTTGATGCTTCCTTTAGGACATGTACTAATAATTAGTGTGGTCTTGGATTGTCTTCTGTGAGGTATCTGCAGAGTCACGTCTCATTCTGTAAATAGTATTTTGGAAGTATCTTCATCTAAAAATAATGAAGTCTCATTTACCATTAACAGAAATTAGCACTGCCAGGCTAGAGTGACTGTTTTGAGAGACTGGTACTTGTATGAACACAGCTGTCAGGGATTCCATTTTCTAATGTAGGTGTGCATTTATTGCTCTCAAGTCTTTGATGCAGGATAAATAAGGCAGTAGTTTCCCAAGCTAGATAAAATTAGGGACTGGAACTCTGACAATTTGCACAAGTTCTGTCCACGTCTTGCCTGTAACTCTGTAGCTGAATAGTACATTTATACATGCCAAATGTGTTCAATAATAAATGCTTTGCTTTGGACTGTACTTCCTCCCATTTAGATGAACTTCCAGGAACTGCAATGTCAAGAAAACATTGTTACTATTCATCATACAGTTACACATTAGTGAATAAGACACAGGGGAAAAAACAACCTTAATATACTGTGAACATACTTTTATTAGTTTGATTTCTACCTTCTTGAAGCCATTCTGTTCAAAAGTATGTCAGTTTACAAAGCTAGAATGGCTTCTCATTATCCCAGTCTCTTCAGGCCACTCTCAGGTAAAGAAATACTAGACATTAATGACAAGTCTTTCATCTTTTGCAATTTCTTAATAAATGATATGCATGTATTATTCTGATAAATAAAAACCTATGAAATGATTTAAAGAAATAAAAACCCAAGTTTAGCTTATCCTTTTCATGGTAAATATACTTAATGCCTTTAATCTGAAGGTCAAATCAATTTATGTCTCATTTCAAAGAGATAAAAAATTATTATTCTGCTACAAAAACTGACCTGCAATTCACCTTCTGAAGAGCCTGACCCTTCCCTTAAAACAAATCTAAGTCTTCCTACTTAATTATAAGCACAGATGTTTAATTCCAAAGATAGAAGTTCACCAACCCCAACATTTACCGTCAGCAACATACTTAGCTGTATGTGTACTATGGCAGTAGGTTTTCCTGAAGTCAGAGACCAGATATTTAAATCTTCCACTGAATATACATCTTCAATTTTCATCAAGGCTTCTTTGATATAGTCTACATTTAAATGGCTTGGTACACCTATTCAGAATATATCACCTGTAAGTAAAGTTTACTTTGGGAAAAAAGTTATACATTATTGATAGGACTTTTTTTTTTCTTCAAAGAAACCAACGGTTTTACCAAATTTAGTTAACATGAACACTTTGAAACATCTTATTACTTTAAGATAAACCATGCACACATATAGCAGGATACATATAAGAGGTTAATAACTACTTATAAAAAAGTTCATTCTCATAAGAAGAAATTTAATCAAACCAAATTGTTATTTATTTTAACAAATAAGCTAGGACAGGCAAAAAAAGAAAAAGGAAGGAAAGAAAGGAATGTCCAGCCATGAAAAACCTGTTGGGAACTTACACTTACATGCTTATACATACATAATATTGATAAGGCAAGGATGTTGGAAATATAACAAATTAACAAGTTAAATGGGAATTAAGGAATTCATAACTTACTAAATATAACTGCATTAGGAATCAAGAGAGTTGCGTTCTTGTCCTAGCTCCACAGTTTAGTAGCAGCAAAACCTTAATCAAGTTATGTCACCTCTCTGAACCTCAATTTTCTTGTTGGTAATTTGGGGATATAATTTCTGCATTACCTACTTTTCGTAGCTATTATAAGAATCAAGTGGGTAACAGATGGTAGAAGGCCATCTGTGTAATTATGTATGTTATATACATGTAAGGTGGAGTTGCTATAGCCTGGTAAGCACCGGTAAAGAAGGGGAAGAGACGTGGGTCCTGCTCCAGAGTGTGCCCTTCCACCCCCAATCTGATTTAGGGAGGTAATAAACCCAGAATGGGGTATTAGTGATATCTTACCTTCTAGGATTATAACTATTGTGTCCCATATGATGCGAAATGTTGTAAAAGCCACAAGTAATGAAAATACATATGTACAGATGGGATCAGCAATCTTATATTCGGGCTGAAAGGTGATAAAATTGTGTGATTAAATATGGACAGACATAAAAAAAAGGAAGACATACTCTTCCTCCTGTTCTTTATCTTTCTTTAGAAGGACTAGAGGATACCTTTAAAATTTAGATATTGCAATTAAGAAACACCTTCACTTTTTCCTAGATTTTTAAACGTCTTTCCTCATGAGACTTATTTCTAGAACTTTAATTATTGTCTTTTCCTCTGTACCATCTCTAAATCTTCCACCCAGAACCATAGAATATCAGAGTTGGAAGGAGTTTTAGCAGCCACATATCTGGTCTAAGCCCCTCATATTAAAGAGGAGGGTGCTCAAGTTTACAGAGATGAGGGACTTGCTGAAGGTCAAAGTACTAATGGCAGAGCCAAGCCTAGAACCCAGATTGCTGTCTTTCTAGTCCGGTGCACATTCCAGTACCTCACATTTCGGTGATAGGGCTTTTGAGTTCTCCAGTGAGGGCCCTACCAAAGCTAACTATAGATACTATACTGTGAAATGATACTCTTGTATTTAGTGCTAGCAAAAGAGCTACACTGATGATGCAACTAAGCTTGCCTAAATGAAAAATGAGTAAGACTGGCATTGCCTCCAATACACTGATAGGAGACAATCAGCTTTAGTTTTAATGTTGAAATTAAATATATTTTAAAATAGAAATAGTAGCAAAAATATTACCTTGAATCGTATAATGTATGCGGCTATTAGCACCCCAATGCTCTGTACCAAATCCCCCAAGGCATGTACAAATGCAGCTCTCACTGCCAGGCTATCCTGCCCATGGCTGCGTTCACACCCAGAACCTGTGGTAGGAGAATTTGAAGGCAGGGAGTGGGAATGGGTGTGATGACCAGCCTGGTTCAACAGAAACCCCATTCTGTTAAAAATAAAAGAAAACATTATTATTTTTCCTAATACTATTGATAAAAAATATTTGCTGCTAATCAGACACTAATGAGGCAACATGGAACTCATTAATTTAATAAATATTGCAGCACCTATTATTATGTATCAGGCACTCTTCTAGGTGCTGGGGTCAAAACAATGACCAAGCAGACACACTCCCTATTCCCACGGAGCTTATGTTCCAGTAAGGAAGGCAGATAAGTAAACAAATAAATATATAATACAATGTCAGGCAATGTGAATGCTTTGAAGAAAAGTAAAGCATTGCAAGAGGATGGAGAGTGGTCAGAGGGGGCCTCTCTCAGATCCCATCTGTGCAGAGACTTGAATGAAGTCAGAAAGCAAGTAGTGGTGGAAGAGTGTTCTAGGCAGAAAGAACAAAGATCCTTAGATGAAAATGTGCTCTTTGTCCTTAAAAAAACCAAGACAGCCATTGTGGCTTGCACAAAATGAGCCAGAGTGCCAGAAGATGCATTGGTGAGGCACACAGGGTCTTATGGTAAGGACTTCTGATTTTATTCTAAGTGTGAATGGAAGCCACTAAGGCAGGGACTAGCAGACCATGGTCTACCACTGCCTCTTTTGTAAATCAAGTTTTGCTGGGTCACAGCCATGCTCATTTGTTTATTACTGAATGTGGCTACTTTTGTTCTATAACAGCAAAGCTGAATAGCTGTAGAAGAGACTGTGTGGCTCTCAAAGCCTAAATTATTTTCACTATATGGCCCTTTACAGAAAAAGTTTGCTGACCTCTGGTCCAAATGATTAAGGATGTTACTTAAAACTACTTTTTAGTTTTTAGGAAAAAAAGTTGGTAGTTAAAAACAGATCTCATTCACACAGAAGTATTGAAAAATAGAAGTTAAATTAAAAAAATTAACTTATCTTACTTATATTCCTGATAGTTAAACTGCAGTATACCTGAGCAAACTAATGAGGAATTTATATTCATGAAAGTTTTATTAATATTATAAGAAAATTAACATGTTATATAATTTTTAAATATACAAAATTTTACAAAATTTAATAAAATATACAAAATATACTGCACATTACTGAATGCATACATAATAGTCTCTAGGTTCACAGTACCTGAAAATATTAATGGGAAAACAAGATAGAATGTATAATATACATTTTATTATACATTTGTCCAAACCTACAGAATGTACAACACCTAGAGTGAACCTCACTGTAAACTATGGACTTTGGATAATGACTTATCAACATAGGGTCATCATCTGTAACAAATATACCACTCTGGCTGAGGATGTTAATAATGGGGGAAGCTATGCATGTGTAGGGGCAGGGGGGGTATGGAAAATCTCTATACCTTCTGCTCAGTACTGCTGTGAACCTAAAACCACTCTAAAAAATAAAGATTATTAAAAACATTTTAAGAACAGAGCTTACATTATGTTAACTGCAACTCCAACAGCTGCAGTAATAAGCATTACGTCTCCATTTATTTCATATTTCAAATAGATAGTTCTCTGGACAGCTTCATAGAGGAGGAATCCCATAAGTACATACACCAACAGTACACTAATCATAGCTGACAAAACCTCTGGAGGGAAAAAAATAAAAAACAAATATTTTCAGCAAGGTTGATATACTTCATACAAACTAAATATTGTACAATCTTTTATTTCTATCTTTTCTCTAAGAAGATAAAAGCACTGTATCATTTCTGTCATGCTAGTTTCCTTATTTAAAGTGCTTAGTAGTTTGATCTGGATCCCCCAGTAGCTTACTCCCTTCATCTCCCCACCTCATCTCCCAACCTTCCCCTCATCTCTTTAGGGTCAAATTGTGAATATACTGAACATACACTTGAAAAAAATGAAAAACTAAGAAAAAATGTTGTAACATATACAACCACACACTAATTTTCTAGTAGAAGAGTGCACTCACAAATCAATAACAAAGTGAACAACCTGTATGAAAAATGGGTAAAGGACACAATAGTAATACACAGAAAGTAAAAGAAATGGCCAATTTATCCCAATCAAGCATAATACAAGAAATTCAAATAGGAATACAATTCCTTTTGGACCCTTGCTAAATTGGCAAAGATTAAGTTTGATAATAGCCAGAGTTAGCTAAGATACAGTGGTGGAAGTATCAAATGTAACTGTCTTTTTTGGAGAGCAGTTAGTAAAACTAATCAAAATTTAAAATGTACATATTCCTTGATTCTAGGAATCTATCAGAAACACATTCATATGTATGCAAAGATATTTTCAAGGTTTGTCACTATAGCTTTGTGTGTATTATCAAAAAAGACCTAGAAACATCTTAAATGTCCTCTAATGAGGAACTTAACGAATACATTATGATATGTACATATAATGGGATATCATATAGACACATTAAAAAAAGGAAAAAAAGAAAAACAAATATGAGGCAAATTGATAATTACAAGAAAGTATTACATCTGGGAGGTGGAACTAGGAGCTTAGGGAATTTATTTTTCACTTTATTCTTTTCAGTAAGTAATGTTTGAAATGTTTAAGTTTTATCAGCAAACATGTATTACTTTCCACTAAAGAAAAACACTTTAAGGCATGCAAATATTCATGAATGCACTTTGACCCAGGAATTTCCTTTCTAGGGATAATATACACATTCATGCCGATTGAGCTGCACATGTGCAAAATGAGGCATGTATGGAGCTATTCATCAAACATTGTATATAAGAGCAAACAACTGAAAACAGTAAACTGATTAGTAGGGGCCTTATGCAATATTATGCAGTTGTTAAAAAAAAAGAAGGCTCTGCCTTATAAGGAGTAATTTCCGAGACACATGTTATGTGAAGAAAGCAAAGTACACAACAGTCTGTATGGTATGTCACCATTTGTGTGAAAAAGAAAAAGAACATATAAATAATGATCTATACTTGCAATCTGTGGAAGGGTACACAAAATTACTGATTTAAAAAATGGATAGGAGAATGGGTGGCTGCGAGACAGGGATAACTTTGAGCTGTATATGTTTTTATACCATATGAATTGTCTACCACTATAAAGTAGGAATAACTTTGTATCTTTCCAAATAACAAAAAAATAGGGAAATGTGAAGTACATTTTAAAATAATTATACTTTCTATATAATTTATTGTATAAAACAAGTATTGACACTCTAAACAATGAAAGTACTTTTAAAGAGAAATTTTCCTTTAGAGAAACCAGACATTACTCCTATTAAGCATTAAAACAATCAGGAAAAATGTTACCTGGGTCAACTCATTGCTCAAAGGTTTCAAGCAGTCCAAGTATATTGGACTTTGATACATTTTTATTCCAACTCATAAATTACAACAGAAAATTTAGTAGTTATAAACTGTTTCCTGAAGACATCTCACTAAATGTAGCCAAATTCTAATAAAATACTGTGTATTAACAGAACAAATGTTGGCATGAGACAATCAATGTACAATTCCTGTTCAAAATCACGGCACACCCCTGCCTGATGTACTGATCATTATACTTCAAAAGAAACACAGGGCTGAAAAAGAGAGAAAAGATCAACTGAAATATACAAAGCTGTGGAGAGACTTCCATATTAAGTCCAGACTCTAAGCTCCATGAGGATACGACCAAGTTACATTCCACGTTACACTTACAGCACTCAGTAACTTATAGATGAATTTGTAGAATGAAGTTAGTTGGGTTGAGCAAGGGAAGTTGATAAAAGGCTATATAATTAAGAAGATTAAGCTAATGAATAGTAAGTTATTTACTGCATCTCAAAATCAAGACGTAAATAGGTTAAAAGAAAATAATTAAAACAAATACAAGACAGAATACACATGGAATTTCTTATAACTGCTAGTGGTAAAGTACACATATAGAAATAATGTGAATAATTAAAAATAGTTTAAATTATAAAATCTTATGTACTAGTGTTAGCCTCCTTATTTTACTCACAAAGAGAAGTTTTAATTCTCTTTAAAATTAGTATTTTAAAAATACGAATCAATCCTCAAGCTCTTCTACAAAGAAAAAGGAAAGAAAGAATTTTGTGTGTCAAGGTTGAAGCTAGCAATTAGGCCACCATAGTCTTTAAGGTGTCTTAATCAAATTTTTAATATGAATTATAAAGCAATATACTTTACATTTATAAAGCTCTATAACTATACAAGTTAATGACATAGGGATGTGACTGCTTATGAAAATCTAAAATCAATTATTAAAAATTCTTTCAAAACCTCCTATAATTAGGTTGACCATACTAGGTTGACCAATTAGGTTGGACATTCAGTTTTCCCTGAATAGTCACAATTTATGCCTGTTGTCCTGACATATTATTAAAAGCTCCCCATTTCATTTTCAAAGTATCCTGGTTTAGATAATAAATTATACAGTGAATGTAGCAGGTATGCCAGATAAAATAGTGGATATCCAGTTCAATATGCATTTCAGATAAAAAATTTTTAATTTAAGTATCTCCCATGCAATATTTCAGACATACTATGCAGTCTGCAAGAGTGAGTGTGTGTGTGTGTGTGTGTGCACATGCATGCACTAAATCTGGCAACCCCACATCCCAATTATAAGTTTCCTAAACACTTACAGTTATCTTTTTGTGAACTCTCATATTAGGCAAAACCACATTTAAAATAAAGTAAAATTAAAGTCAAACTAAAGCAGAAACGGACTTCTTTGGCAAGGAGTATTCCTACCCTTAGAACATCTGCTAGGCTGCTGCAGCCTGTAGTGAAAGCTCAGTTTTCTACATCAGTCTTCACTCCTGTACAGAGCATAAAAGGGATCCCAGTGCCTACCTACAGTTAAGAGTAATGGAATTTAATGGGCTCCTAAAAATTCCCAAAATGACATATTAGGATACTGCTATCAATGAAATCCCTTTTCCAGCAATTAATAAGAAATGTGCCTCATGTCTAGTTCCCTTGGTGTAAAGCAAAGACATTCATCTGTTATTTTTAATTCTAATTAACTGTCAAAATGTCTTCAAGACAGAATACTCATAAATTCAAAGGAAAAAAGAGAAAACTTAAAGTAGATTTTTAGGGCTGAGATTTGTAATTGAGAAGTATAAGGGACAGATAATACTGTATGGCTAAAATTCCAAATAGTGGTAAAATGATCATTTATTCTGATAAACAAAAAGTTCTTTCACTGTGAATAAATTAAACTTTGGTGAAATATCATGAATAGGACTAATTAGTGTTACAATTTTTTTCATAGTAATTTTAACATGATGGAATGCAGATAAACATGGCAAGATATTTTTTTCCCTACAAATTATTAAGAGAGAGGGAAGCTTTCCATCATTAACCACATTACGACTTGTCCAAACTTCTCATTCTTGCTCTGGGTTGGTTTCTTGTCACAAAATATTCAATAAAGTTTTTCAAGACTAAAGGAATACATGATACGGATTTTTCATTTTCTAAAGGAGGTCAAGGAACTTTCACAATTGAAACCCTAGATTTCAGTGAACGTTACTACCCCATTAATTTCAGGTAAATTTGACTAAATGGAAATTTAGCATAAATGAAAAACTCTTGAAAGAGATTTTATGGAAATTGTAGAGAACCTATTATTACAGTACTTCTAACACATTTTGCTACTTTACACACAAATAATTAAATCACTCCACCTGGCTGAACTGTATGTAGCATTGGAGGAGGGAGTTAAGATGAGTGAGTATGTGTTTTTTGTTATAACATCACTTGGGTCTTTTCATTCAGCTGAAATATAAACAAATAAGATCAATGATCTAATAAAAACCAAAATACACTCTGAATTTCACATAAGAATAAACATCTTTGGTTTGAATGGTTAATAAATGGTAAAATAAAAAATTTAACAGGAGAAAATAGATTATCAAATACTCTATAAAATATGAAAACTGTTTATTGCACATTTTAACACATCTATAAATTGCCAAAACTAGAGGTTTTCAAGGTTCAATGAGAAACATTGAGTCCTTCTCAGTCCTCCTCTGTTATTCTCCATCATAGTACATCATTCTTTTTTTTCATAGCATGTAATAGTTTATGATGATGCTGTATTTATGTAGATATTTACTGCCTGTATCCCCACCCTGTACTATTATCCATTCAGTCAACAGGTAACTACTGAGCAACAGTTTGCTTCAACTATGTAAATTACACTCAACCAAGAATATTTGCTTTTTTATGAGTGCTGCCTAGATTTAACATTGGCCTATTGTTAACTGTTAACTTTACTAATGCTATGATGTCAATAATGAGTGTATTTCTCTTACGTAACACTTGTCTTTCTATCATCTCAAAGAACTATATATAGCAAACATCTAAAGACAGGTTTCAGAGGTCTATAAAAATGAGTAGGAGAGTGGAGACGTATTTTCTCTAGTACTTTAATGCTATGTCTCTTTTCTGCCTTCTTCCAATAGATGATAGGAAGGAAATAGGAGGAAAATCAGTGGGCTGTACTGGATGTGCCTAGGACTTCCAGACTAGTATTTGTATTTCAACTCATTCAATTTGTATTTTCAACTTAGTCTACTGCACTCAGGCTAAGGACATCATATAGGATTTTCAGTGGCCACCAGAATGCCAAACTAAACTGCAAAGTATATATTTCAATCCTCTCACCTCCTATTCTGAATAACCTCCAATTTCCTGCCTTCTTACCACTTTCTCCACCCCCATACCCAAGGTAAGCAGTACTGTCAAGTGGACTTGTGGCTATCCAGTGCTGACCACCTCACTCATATCTTCCTTCTGCCTCACTAAAATGCCCATTTCTAGGAAGTATCTATTCTTTTCATATAGATGTTCATGTGATATAAATTAATTCTATGATGTGAATAATTAGTAGGCATAACTCTTGTCAGGGATGGAAAGAAGTTGTTAAAATGAATCACTAACTAGGGAGAAGAGATTATGTTTTTTGGCTGCATGTATCGAGGAAGAGATTTTTTAGCTGAATACTTTCTGCCCCTTTTGCATGAGGGGAAAAAATAATAACCTACATAGAATTAGCATTATAATCACATATCTGCCTCAGGACAACCATCATGTAACCATACTGGCCAAACTGTCTTTGGTTCAGAACTGAGATCTGTACTTTTACTAGCTATATGAACTTTTGGACAGCGATTTAGTCTAAGTACCAGCTTTTTTCTGTAAAATAGGGATGTATTGCAGAACTGTAAAAAATACTTAAATAAGGTAGTGAGGTATAAGTACCTAACATGGTACCTGGCAGAGAGTATATTCTCAGTTAATTAGTTTTAGTCTTCTCCTTCCCTCTTCTACCTGCTCGTATATCCTCTTACCCAGCCTTCTCATATTTCTCAAAATGGTCCATGTTCTAGAACTGTAAAAGTGGTAAGTAGCAAAACAGACAAATAAGACCAGCCCCTGACTAAGACAGGAAGAGGAAACTCCCTTCTGACTAATTTTTTAAGTCAGAAGCAACCGTAAGTTAGGCTTTACCACCCAGCCATGTTATGGATCAAATATATTTTTATTGACTATTTTGTGAACATGACCACAGTTTCAGGATTACAGATACATGTTTTTAAGTCCCAATATTTTAGTCTCAAAATTTCAAAAATATCACTACTCCCAGTTTGGATATTGGTTTAACTTACCCTAAGCACAGGTGATTTGAGGATCATGAGGTTTACTAACTTATCTGTTTCACAGATGTCATATCCTTATTTACTCAGCCTGAATATGCAATAGGAAAGCCTAATAATTCAATCAATAATCTCTCATACAGTACTTACTAGTGCCAGACACACAGAGTTAATATTATCTGTTCCTGTCCCTACTTAACTCATGGTCTAAAAGGAGACACAGTTTTATAAGAATAGCTTTAAAAATATGATATATGCTTTTAGGCATGTATAAAATATTACGAGGAAGCAAAAAGGAAATGAATTTGGGAATGATACCAATATCTTGCTATCATTCACAGACACAGACCTCTAGGTCCAGAACTGGGTATACAGTATGCTGCCTTTTGCAGAAGAGAAGGTGGCAGAGAGTTGGGTATGAACATATATGAAAAATATATAAAGTAAGGTGGAAGGTATAATATACATGTGTTTCCTTATACTTTCAAAAGGAGAGCCTAAAAGGATAGTTCAGAAACTAATTAAAATGGTTACTAAAAGGAAGTAGAGTGGGAGGTTGGGTTGGAGGGGACAGAAAGAAAGCAAGACATCTCTGAGTAAATCTTTATTTTAAAATCATTTTTGACTTTTGCAACATAGATTTTACATATTTACAAAATAA